CTTCAACTCAATAAGAAATGTTATTGTCTACACTTTCCTTGGGATTGTTTTAGTTTCTATTTTTGTCACTTGTGGAGTAATTTTAGCTCTCAGGATTCATGGGGGAAACTTTGGCAAGAATTTTGATGAAGGTGATGAAACCGAATGGACTTTCACTCCATTCCAGAAAGTCAATTTCTCCATCAATGACATTTTAGCAAAGTTGTCAGAATCAAACATTGTTGGAAAGGGTTGCTCAGGAATTGTTTATCGCGTAGAGACTCAAATGAAACAGATTATTGCAGTGAAGAAGCTATGGCCAATAAAGAAGGAAGAGCCACCAGAGAGAGATCTGTTTACTGCAGAAGTTCAGACCCTTGGATCAATAAGACACAAGAATATAGTGAGACTTTTAGGATGCTGTGACAATGGAAGAACTAGATTGCTCTTGTTTGATTATATATGCAACGGAAGTTTGTTTGGATTGCTTCATGAAAAGAGACTGTTCTTGGATTGGGATGCAAGGTATAAGATCATACTGGGAACAGCTCATGGTTTAGAATATCTTCATCATGATTGTATCCCTCCAATTGTCCACAGGGACATTAAGGCTAACAACATCTTGGTAGGTCCACAGTTTGAAGCTTTTCTTGCAGATTTTGGCCTTGCAAAACTCGTGAGTTCCTCAGAGTGTGCAGGAGCCTCTCATACGGTTGCAGGTTCTTATGGATACATTGCTCCTGGTGAGTATAAAAGTTTTTGTCATTCTAAAACAACAGTTAAAGTTTAGCATTGTCCGATTAAGAAAACTTTCAGTCTTGCATCATTGTTTTGTCAAAAAGTCATTTAAAAAATCAGTGCCTTTATACTTGACGACATTTCTTTACTCTCTCTTTTGGTACATACGAAGAATCTGTGCGTGCACACTTTAAGACATTTATTTTTTATTCTTAAATTAGGTTGTTCTTTCTATAATAGTTTCCTGTGACTGCTGACTAATCACCACAGCATTATCTATCAACCTGCAGAATATGGATACAGTTTAAGGATCACAGAAAAGAGTGATGTATACAGTTTCGGTGTTTTACTTCTTGAGGTCTTAACGGGGATTGGACCAACTGATAACAGGATTCCAGAGGGTGCCCACATAGTCACATGGGTTAGCAACGAAATCCGAGAGAAAAGAAGAGAATTTACGTCTATCCTCGACCAGCAACTAGTATTCCAGAGTGGCACAAAAACCTCTGAGATGCTTCAAGTTCTAGGAGTGGCTCTCCTCTGTGTGAATCAATCACCAGAAGAACGACCTACCATGAAAGACGTAACAGCAATGCTCAAGGAGATCAGGCATGAAAATGATGATTTCGAAAAACCGGATTTTCTTCATAAAGGCATGGCTGCAAATTCAAAAGCAGCAGTTCACTGTTCAAGTTTCTCCAGATCATGTGAACCTTTAATAATAGAATCAACATCTTCTTCTTCTTCTTCCTAGCCACCAATTTGATTACTAGATTTGTTAAAAAAAAAAAATTCAAGTACAAATTATTTGTATAGATTAGTATTATATGGATTTGGATCTTCTCTTTAGGAGATATGGTCTTGTTAGAAAGAGAAAGACACAAACATAATTAGTGGAACCATGGTGGATTACTGTTTAATAAAAATTATGTCTTTCTCTATTCAACAAAGACCACATCCATATCCTTTTACTCAATAACAAGATATTATTTCTCATGGCAATTCCACACTGCCCAATTATGTTCTTCCTGTAGATAAACTCTAGAGTTAAAAACAAGTCATATAATGCCAGAAACTGGCATTTCAATTTAGAATAGAACAACGTTCTTGCAATATGGAATCAAAGTGTTCCTTGTATTGCACTAAAATCCATGAAGAAAATGCTTTAGGACTAGTCCCACTCACACGATCGAAGAACCTGCTATTGCCGACAACAGTGGCAGAAGTAAACAAATTAATAGTGGTACCGTGCCTAAGACCTTAGGTTCAATTAACCTTGGCAATAAACAATGACTTCTTAGAGAGAAGGGGCCATGGCATACGAACAAAGCTTTCAAGGGACTGGAGAGATGGGCCATTGAAAAGCAAGAGTTGACAGTGCCTTCTTTCGTGGCATAAGCCTCTAAAGTGCAAAATTATAGAGAGACGAGAAGCACCTGGACCACAATCCTTCATAAATGTTCCCAACAATTATTTGTGTAGAGAGAGATGGCTCGTGCCCATGTCAGTGAAAAGAAGTCTTGCTTTTATTCATGTGATAGGAACCATCCTTGGCCCAGATAGTTTGGCACATCTTATCTCCCTGGTTACAAACCAAGCAACCATCAACATTAAGTACAAGAAACACTAAACTCTATAATTATAAAGCTAATATCTAGTTTTTTTTTTTTTGCCCAATTACTGTCTGTAGTTCATGAAGTTTATGCAGAACAGTATTTCATAATGGTATGCTATATTTGCTACCTTATATAGTCTGTTTGGATAAATCAATCCATGATAAGAAAATGAATCAAAGATCTAACATTAAGTTTAAATCAAATTATGTGTTTTTAGTTTTTGAGAAGTTCAGTGACAGATGATTTAAACACACGAGAGAAATTTAATATATTTTGATTTATTTATTTTTTGTTCTCTAACAACACAAATTTGAAGGCTTGCTTTTTTGTGATCACTAACCCACGGTCAACCATTGGAAACAAGTAAACTACTCCTATAGCATCATAGAAAAACAGGCATCCAATAATTTTTTTCACTCAGAACTAAATTGATGGATATTATAATGGAAGTAAGATATGAAAGTGATAAATGAGGAAATATAGAGCTGCGTACATCAGCAACAAAAAGAACAAATGGTGCACAACAAAACCATGTTCGGAGGAAACAACAAATGGGAGACAGCGAGAGGGAGACACAGATGAACCTATTCAAGATCTAGGGACAGAACTAGTGTGTTTGTAAGAAACAAGCGCACACAGACACACATATAAAATAACCCTACGTTCATTACATGTAAGGATAAGAGCTGAAGAACTAAAAAACGGTCAAATGATAATGACAATGATTCGAAGACAAGAGACTTTCAGAAGTTAAGATGTGAATGCTTCTAAACAAAATTCTGATTGTATTTAAGTGCCCTAATGGTTTGAGGGAACAGATAATTTGCAGATGGTTTCTTTATACTCTTAGTGGATGGTCTGGTTTTCTCAAAAATCTGAACCAAATCATTAAAACTTGTTTAGATTTAAAAACTAAATTATAATGATAGATAGATATAAACACAAAAGGAATAACATTATGCAAATTCTTGTATAATATGTTTCATGTATATCATTTCTCTTTTATTTTAACTTCCAAGTGTACCAAATATCATTGTGTAACTAGTTTTAGTAAATGGCTTTAAAAGAATCCATCTGGTTCTATTTCTGAAACGTTCTTCTTTCACCTTATAGTCCATCCCTTTCCCTGCAAAACATTCGTAGAGAGATGTCTATTGTGTTTCAGCAATGAAATTCATCCACTCCATTTTAGGGTAAGTGTTTTTTTTTTAATTATCAACCAATTATTTTTGAAAAAATAAATTGTCAAGGAATATTTTTTTAATGGTGAATTAGCATAAAATCTGTTCTATTTAAATCTGGATCCAGTGAAAATCCTGCGAAAAGTTAACCTCATAACCTAGAAGCAATTTTTTTTTTTTACTATAAAAGGCTATACAAATGACACCTTAAAAGAAAGCTTATTCAATCACAGTTGAAAAAGACTAAATTTCCGAAAGGATCACGCACCTACATTTGAGTTTTTGTTAATTTCTTCTCTTGATAAATAAGTCATTTTTGTTAATAATTAAAAAAAAAGGTAAACTCATAATATGTTATCATTGCCACGCGTGAACGTTAACAATATGTAAAAACTCGTTGACCTAAAAATTTCTTTAAAGAACTTAGTTTAACACCTATATTATTTATTAGGGAGAAAAATAATAACTTTACTCATTTTATTATACTTTTAGTATAGATGACAAAGGATATCAATAAAAACAGAAGACAATAAGTCAGCATAACGAGCTAGATATAACTTGACAAAACTACTATCAAAAAGATTAATTTATAAATGGAAGAAAAACTTCAGAACTCAAGTATCACTAAAAATTCCTTCTAAAACCACTCAAATAATACTCGTATATACTCATATTTAAAAGACGCAAATATAATTCAATCATTTTCAGCATAGAACCTTTTGGACTAAAGTAATAAAGGTACGAATTTAAATTCCAAGTTTTTCGGGTAAAGGTGACAAATAGACAACGGTTGATCAGTGAAAAAAAAGTGGAACAAAGGTTAGTGGAGGATGATAATACAAGTAAATAATTCTAGAAAGATTGGACGGAGCAAAATATCTTGGTGCCCTTTTGGGGTCCATGGCTTCGTAATTTAAAGTTACTTCGTTCACTTGTTTCACCACATTAAAATGATTAGGCCACTTACATTGAAAGAACTGGACCATGTTATGATTGTCTTGAGCAACCCTGGGACTTGGAAACTGGAAAGTACCAATTATGAGATGAATCACACAGACACCTCATCATGATTTTTCAATGATGAATCTAAAAAAGAGGTCACCAACATGCAATGATATTAATGTAGTTCATTACAAAAGAAAATATGATTGTGTTTCCAGGAGGATTGCAAAACAAATTTCATTACATTATTACAATTACAACATAACATACAAAGAACAATGACACCCGAACCTCGTGTGAATGAATGGTGTCTCAATATAGTATACAACTTCAGTGACATACCAAGTATCCATAAGAACCACAAATGACACCATTTGCTTCAAAGTCACGTTTATCGAAATTCTAGGTGAAGAGGAACACTGAAAAAAAGGTAATAAGCAGGTGTAAGATTGTAATATGGTCAGTGACATTACATAAAGCATAGCCAAACCTGAAAAAGAAACTTTAACTCACTGATTAGTATCTTTTGAATATAGTTTATCGATCAAAACTTCTTCCCTGGGTGCCACTTTATGCTGCATCCAACACTTTATACAAGACAAACAATGATCTTATGCACGAGAATGTAACAGAGACCTAAACTTCAATGACTCTCAACAATAAGAATATGTAGAAAGTACCTAGGTTTTTGCACTGATGGTACCGGTTGGCCACTAAGAACACGATCTATTGCCAAACTCAAGTCTCTTTATATAGAAAATTAAATGGTTACTACTGTCAAGAAATTAAAAGTGTTTGAATAATTGTTCAAGGCAACTTCAATATAAGAAACCAACCTTCCAGTGACTGGTACATTATTACTTGGCCGTGAATCATCAAATTGACCATGATAAACCAGATCAAATGGCCTTCGACCAGTCTGTTATTAATTGGTAGAAATATGATATACACTGAATATTGAGGGTCTAATTTAACCTCTAATCAAATCCATGCTGACTGATTAGTGTCAAAATATGAACATCAAAATTGGCACTTAAATGTATTTAAATGATGTAAATTCTCTCAAAAATTAAATAAAAAATTAAATTTTACTTTTATTTTAAATTTTATAAAGTTTAAAGAAAACAAAAGAAGAAAAAGAAAAAATAAAATTTTTTAAATAAACGTCGCCAAAACTATCGCTCAAGTGAAAAGGAACAAGTTGTCATTGGGCATGGTTGAGCATCGCTTGAGCCACAATCCAATGCTCAAGCGATGAACGATTTTAGTGGAGAAGCAAGCAACTTGCCGTAGCACCCAAACGGGAGCCCAAGCGAGAAGTGGTTGGCAAAACCCTATATAAGGTCATCTATGCTGTTTGGAAGAGAAATTTACTATTCTTCTAGTTTTTAGTTAGGTTCTCTCTCTTCTCTTTGATTAAAAGTAGTATAGGAGTAAATATGTTAACTCTGTTCTTAAGGGATATCAAAGGAAGTAGCTAACGTCTTGGGAAACAACTTTTTTACTTACTCTAGTGATTTTTATTTGTATGTATAAGTTGTCATGTGTCACTGTTTCGGAATTGAATGTACTTTCTTCTTAAGTTAGTTATGTCAATTAATGTTATTCTCTCTTTTGATATTAGTAATCTAATCAATTCTAGAAAAGCTTGATTGGACTTGATTAAAGTCATTTCAATATGTTGAATTACTAGGAATATTCTTTATTATATTGATTTGTTCCATTAATAATGCTTGAATTATGAGATGAATCCAAAGAATTGGACATGATTAAATTTACACAATAAGATTCTAGGAATTGATTTTAATCTATTGATTTCTTTAACATGATGCTTAATGCAAGAATGTTTGTCAAGTATTTGAGGAATAAATGTTTGTTAAATATTCTTAGACGTTATAGACAAGGAATGGTTATAAGGAAATTTTAGAATCATGTTGCAGGAATATTAAATTCAGAAAACATAAGATTTAATCATAAACAATTTAAGATGAATTATTATTTATATAGTTTATTTATTAAATTCTTACATTAATTGTTATCCACAAAAAACCATAATTGATAAACTATTAAAAAGAGGAATTTACATTTAATAGAAATTGCCCAGTAACTCTGGTGAAAAGAAAAACTCTTACTGTACCAAGTAAAATGACTATTTGTACCAAGTTCAATGTACAATATAATGAACAATGGTGGTTGTAATTGTAATTACCTTTTTGAAAAGGAAAAATTCTGGAGTACAAACTGCTCCAAAATCCTGTGCAACATCCTGCGACTGCATAAAAAAATCCATCAAATATATCAGTGTTTTACCAAATTACTGACAAAGATAACATAAACTGTTTAAGGTGGTTTCTTTCCATTAATTCCATGAGCCAAAAAGCCCCCCACAGCAAAAATTATATTCAATTTAAGTCATAGCTATCAGAAATGAGCTTCCAGATTTAGGATAAAAATGTTATTGTGATATAAATGCAGAACTTTTATAACATTCTGAATTGAGCATATGGATAATAATAATAACAATAAATTTTTTTCATTGGATATCTGGTTCTGATATTCACATCATAATAATACACATATTAGTTAGTGAATTAAATAATTTAATAAAAAATAAAATTTGGCTGCCACCTAAGGAGTCACTACTACATCAGCATCTCCCCCCAGGTTGTTTGACACCTCTACAGGAACCTACCTTCTTTTTCCAGATGGTCTTTGGGTTTTAGGTTTTAATGGCAGAGTTTGGATAACACTGTTTAATATGATAATCAGTAGTAGGTTATTTTAGGTTCATCATCCCCGTATCAACATGATATTCACCCCTGCTTTACATGGAAAAAGATCATGCCATTAACTGTAGGATAAAGGAGTCCAACCCAGATAATGTCACTGAGGGATGTAAAAGTATGACCATCAAAAGGATGAATTTTCACCACATCACAGATAATAAATGAACAATTAGACAGGCATAGCTGCACAGGATCTGCACATCTACTAAAACATGTCAATATTAAAGCAGATGAAGATTTTCCAGAACATACCTCATCATATAGGTATGGGAAAGGATATTTAAACAGTTTAGCATCTTCTGCCATGAATTCTGGACCATCCTGTGAGGCACAATTCAATGTTGCACAAATTATTTAATACGTTCAACGTAGCTATATTCCAGGATATGAAGTTACTAGAACCTGGGGGTGTGTGGCTACGGAATTCGAAGATATAGCAATGACAGCAAGCCCTTTCTGTAGAAAGAGGAAAGAATATTTTTATAATAGATTTTACTTGTGCTAGTACAACCTGCTACTGAAGAAAGTAATATGTTTCTTCCCGGGTAATTGATTTGGCTACCTCCATATAGAATTTTGTAAGCTTTGCAATGCCTTTTTTCAGGTGCTTAACGAATGGACAGTGGTTGCATATAAACATAACCTGCAAGACCACCAAAAATAGGAAGGTGAAACAAGCATTTTCATCACTGAGCAGGGTCTTACTTTGCGCATTGTCACTGAATTAGCAACTAGAGAATATCGCAATGACACCAAATTAGCAACTAGACAAAGGTCTTAATTTATGCATCATAATTCATAAGGAAGAACAACCAGAACAGTTCATAAAACTTCAGCCACAAAAATGGTTTCTCTCAATTTTTGGTAGCTTGTATGAACGAAGACATAAGCATCTCATAATTAAACAAAAAGGAAATTACTTTCATGGTGGTATAATTCTGCAAATATCTACTTCAATGAATTATTACATAAATATGAAACTTGCATGGAAATGCTACCACTTTGACAGTTAAAAAACTTCTTTCAGATTATATATTAAACGCTCTAAAATAACATAAGAAAATTTAATAATCAGTGAAGTGAGCAGAACAAAGAAAGTTGACAAAAGGCAGAAAGAAAGAAGAGTAAGTGGCATCCTACCAGTAGAGCTGGATATTCTTCAACATCTTCCAATGTCCAAACCTTCCCGGTAAGGGGTTCCGGAAGCTAACTCAATTTCAATCCATTCAAAAGTAAATAATAAAGCATATAATAATCACTCCATTCCATGTTTCAGAGGAAAAAAAAAAGGTGGAGTGGTGAAGGTAAAAACCTCAAATTGCGGGGCCCTGAAGCCCAAGCTAACACCTTTGGACTCGGTTCTACAAGCCCGAACGAAGAACCTTGTTCGAGATGGATTTTTCATGCGTTGCAAGCATAGGGGCTGAAAACCCAGTTTTGAAACAGAGCATGTTTGTGAGAATGAGAAAGAAGTTGCCGAAGAACCTAACTGCAGAAAAGGTGACCCAATTGAAGACACTTTCAGTGTCAGTCGCAATGCCATTGTTGTGTTACACTTACTCCAAAATTCACCTCAACCTTTATTCTCCGTCATCAATATCATTATCATCCTCTTCTTCATCACTCCTTGATTCTTTTCTGGTCTTCGTTTTTTCACACTTTTGGGTCATTTGTTCCGCTCATAGTAACCACTCTTAATGGGCCTATATTGTAATGGATCACTCATTGAAACCCAATTACTATGGCCTTAACGTGGTGTAGATTTGGGCCCAACTATTTATCTGGTTCAAAGGTTTCCCAGTGAAGCCGCGATTGGTGATAATCGTGTTGGAGGATGTGAGTGCCCTTTTTATACTGAACCAGCTCCTCCTCCACCAGCAAAACCTGAACCCACAGCAACAACCCCAAACAAACGCAGTGATCAAAACAATCCTCACTTACCTCATGGTATGAAATGAGCATGGTATGGTATGGAATTGCATGGCCTGGCACGAGCGCTTCAATCCTGGTCCTCCATTCGTGAAGGGAGGCAATTCCACGTAGCATTCCTTAAAACCGGCATTCTGAACTACTCCGTCACCGTGGCAAATCGTCTTCTCCAGCTATACGCCCGCTGCGGCTCTCTCCGTGATGCGTCCCACTTGTTCGACGAAATGCCCCAGACAAACTCTTTCTCTTGGAACACCCTCGTCCAAGCCCACCTCAACTCGGGCCACACCCACAACGCCCTCCACTTGTTCAATGTCATGCCTCACAAGACCCACTTCTCATGGAACATGGTCGTTTCCTCATTCGCCAAGTCTGGACACCTTCAACTAGCCTACTCTCTCTTCAATGCCATGCCCTCAAAGAACCACCTCGTTTGGAATTGCATAATTCATAGTTATTCCCGATATGGGCATCCTGGGAAAGCGCTTTTCCTCTTCAAGAGCATGAATTCTGACCCTTCACAAATAATGTACTGTGATGCCTTTGTGCTGGCCACTGTTCTCGGCGCTTGTGCGGACTTGCTGGCTTTCAACTGTGGGAAACAAGTCCATGCGCGTGTTTTCGTTGATGGTCTTGGGTTGGAGCTTGACAGGGTCTTGTGCAGCTCGCTTGTTAACTTGTATGGGAAGTGTGCTGATTTGGATGGTGCTGCTCGCGTAATAAGTTCTGTGATGGAAGTGGATGAGTTCTCTTTGTCAGCTTTGATATCTGGTTATGCAAATGCTGGCAGGATGAGTGAGGCGAGAAGGGTTTTTGATAGAAAGGTTGATCCGTGTGCTGTGATGTGGAATTCGATTATTTCGGGTTATGTGTCCAACGGTGAGGAGATGGAAGCAGTGAATCTTTTCAGTGCAATGCTTAGGAATGGTGTAAGGGGAGACATGTCTACTGTTGCTAATATTTTGAGCGCAGGCAGTGGTTTACTCGCTGTAGAACTTGTTAAGCAAATGCATGCATACGCTTGTAAATCTGGGGTGACTCATGACATTGTGGTTGCCAGTGCTCTGCTTGATGCCTATTCCAAATGTCAAAGCCCTTGTGATGCTTGCAAGTTGTTTTGTGTGCTCAAAGTTTATGATACCATTTTGCTTAATACCATGATCACCGTGTATTCCAATTGTGGAAGGATAGAAGATGCCAAATGGATTTTTAACACGATGCCTTGTAAAACCTTAATTTCATGGAATTCGATCCTAGTTGGCCTAACCCAGAATGCGTGTCCAAGTGAAGCGTTGGATGTTTTTTGTCAGATGAATAAGCTGGACTTAAAAATGGACAAGTTTAGTTTTGCCAGTGTTATCAGTGCTTGTGCCAGCAAATCATTCCTTGAACTTGGTGAGCAAGTATTCGGTAAAGCTATTACCATCGGACTTGACTCCGACCAGATAATTGCTACCTCCCTTGTTGATTTTTATTGCAAATGTGGTTTTGTTAAGATAGGGCGTCAAGTTTTTGATGGAATGGTAAAAACTGATGAGGTCTCGTGGAACACAATGCTAACGGGGTATGCCGCAAATGGATATGGAATTGAAGCACTGACACTCTTTAGTGAAATGAGGTATTGTGGTGTCAGGCCTTCTGCCATTACTTTTACTGGAGTTCTTTCAGCCTGTGATCATAGTGGTCTGGTTGAAGAAGGAAGATATTTGTTCCACATAATGAAACATCACTATTGTATAAATCCAGGGATTGAACATTACTCTTGCATGGTTGACCTTTTTGCTCGAGCTGGATGCTTAGAGGAAGCAATGGATCTTATGGAAGATATGCCTTTTCAGGCTGATGCAAACATGTGGTTGTCAGTATTGAGAGGCTGCATAGCTCATGGAAACAAGATTATTGGCAAGATGGCTGCAGAGCAAATCATTTATCTTGATCCTCAAAATGCAGGTGCTTATATACAATTATCTAACATACTTGCATCTTCTGGGGATTGGGAAGGGTCAGCACTAGTAAGAGAACTGATGAGAGACAAGCATGTTCAGAAGACTCCTGGTTTCAGTTGGGCAGATTGTTGAAAGAGAAACTCTTCTGTGCTTCTTAGTTTCCAGGTGAAAATTAACCAATCTGAGGAGAACAATTCTGGACAGAAATAAGCTTGGAACCACCGGTACCATCCAAAGATTTTTGGTCTATTCTCGGCTGGCTCAAGAGAACGCTTGAATGAGCAGCTTAAAAGTATGTAGCTTAAGTTGGATTAAGTCCGTTTCTTGCTAACAGCGTTGTGGGTGTCTAGTATGAGACTAGGAACACAATGATTTTATCCAAAATACATGACACTATGAGTGTTGGACAATTGGCAGCAAAAAATGGTTTATGAAATATCACATTTTACCCAGGTGTGCAGATCGTTGCAAAATATCACAGTTTTAGAAGTCTAGCTGATCGAAACAAAATCTCTATTAGACCGGGAATATTTGGAATTATATGCAAATGCTGATCCTTACAGGTTCCATGGTTGGGCTGGTGCTATTGCTATCTATCATGCTAAGCAGACTCATTGTAGGATGACAGAATTGGGATGGATTTGGATATTGTAGTTCTTGAGAAGTAGTTAATAACTATGTATGGGAAGGTTGGTCTTGTTGAATATGATTTTGGTGTGATCATGACTATGAAGTAGTTTGATGTTATATCTTGGAACTGCTTGATCTGGGCCGGTCAAAGAGCTGGACACAGTGAGCTGGCTTTGGAGCTGTTCCATAAAATGAGAGATGCTGAGTTGTTAACCGATCAGTTTACGTGTTCAATGTTGATGAGTGTCAGTGTCTGTTCTAACTTGCGAGACTTGGCGAGACTTGGACAAGGGTAAGCAGGTTTTTGCCTTTTGTTTCAAGATGGGATTTATTTATAATAGCATTGTATCCAGTGATGCTATTGACTTCTTTTCCAAATGCAACAGATTGGAGATTCTGTTCAGCTCTTTAAGGAACAAGATCAATGGGATTCAGCCTTATGCAATTTGATGATCTCAGGCTATGCTAGACATGATTTAGGGGAAGATGCTTTGCGACTCTTAATGTTGACCTTGAGGAAGAGTATCAGGCCAACAGAATACATGGTTAGCTCTCTCTTGAGTTCTGTTTCGATTTTCTTACCAGTTAAAGTGGGTAATCAAATCCATTCTTTGGTTCCTACTGGGTTTTGAGTCAGGTGCAGTTATTGCCAGTTCACTTGTTGACATGTATGATAAATTTGGGTTTATTGGCGATGCGTTGAACATCTTCAAAGAAATGAAAATAAAAGATTTAGTATCATGGAACACTATGATGATGGGACTATAGCAGAGTGTCTTCTACCATGGACCTCTTCAGGGAGTTATTGACTAGAGGAGGCACGCTTCCAGATCGAATAACACTTACTGCAGTTGTACTAGCATGCAACTATGGGTTATTGGTTGATGAAGGAATCGAAATATTTTCCTCAATGGAGATTAAATTTGGAGTAAAACCAGGAGAAGAACATTATGAATGCGTTGTGGCGATGTTGAGTAAAGTTGGTAAGCTCAAAGAAGCCATTGATATCATAGAAACAAAGCCGTATAGAAGTACCTCTGACATTTGAAGGTCAATTCTTTCTGCATGTGCAGTTCATGGAGACTTGCAAATTATAGAAGGTGTTGCAAAGAAAATAATTAATAGGAAAACATAAACATCCTCCTTACCTTACTCGGTGTTGGCTCAAACATATCAAATGAGGGCTGGATGGGAGACCATGGTTAGAATGAGGAAGGCTGTGGAAACTAAAGGTACTCAAGAGTTCATTGAATGCAGTTGGATTGGAATAAAAAATAACGTGTACGCTTTTGCGTCAAATCAATTACAACATTATGGTGGCAAGGATCTTTATCTGCTGTTGAATTTACTGGTCTGGGAAATGGAGACTGAAGGTTATGTCTAAAATTGTACAGGCCAAAAAAAAAGTAAAAAAAGTTGTAGCAGTTGGCAAGGAATATGAATGCTAAATAGAAGTGATAGTGCTAGAGGAGGGGGAAGGAGGCAGAAAAATACATGATTAGCGGTTACAAAGTACAAATTAATTCAACTATTTCTTTAGTTATAATAAGAAATCATTTTATAGTATCGAAATCGAACCTGAAAGAAATTATTAATGACATGATAGGAACACCGTAATACACTCTTTTAATACATTCTCTAATATAAAGGGAATATTGACATGTTTTAAAATAGATCAACAATAAGTGATAGAATGTCGCATCATTTATGAAATAAATAGATGAATATATTATGGATTCAATAATGACTAAAACAGTTATACATTAATAAACATTAAAATTATTATAAATACCTAATTTTTATGTCTGCTCAATGCATTCAACTCACTATCTCGCGCCTTCGTCCAACACTGGTTTCGGCTTACATAGAAATATGTTTTATAGCAGAAAATTAGGAACTCGTGGATTTTCGCAATGTTCTCTGGATTTGGTATGCAAATAATGGTTACACCAGCATATGTTTAAGTGATTGTAAACTCTAGGAAGCCATATTTCTCATAATATTACGGAGGATTTGTTTCAACAAATTTTTCCATATCCCTTTTAAAATAGAAAATGTAAAAAAAATAATAATTCTACTATATATAAATTAATTTATACAAACTCTATCATATTATTTATTTTAGAGATTGTTTTTAATTAACATATTAATTTAAATTTATAAAAAAAATTATCTTTCTTGTTTTCTTCTAGAAATGTTTATCCAAAAAATTATCTAAATATATTCTAAATTTATTAACTTTAACTTCTCTTTTATATATTTTGGGAGTCTTGCTAAAAATAGACACATTAATTTTTCTTTATGGAGAATAAATAAGTTTAACCTAATTATAATTTAGAGGTTAATTTTAGGTTGAATCGTGATTCTAATTTTGATCCTTATATTTAAAGTTCAAGAAATAAAATTATATTTTTTTCTATTTCAAAATATTAAAAAGAGGTTTTTAAAACTATTTTTAATTCATCAAAATTAATATTTAACGGATAAAATCATATTTTACTAAATTTAAAAAACTAGAATGAGTTATTTTTAATTTAAAAGACTAACAAAATATTTACCACAAATTCCTAAAACAATAATTAAATTTATTTAACATCGAATTACCAATCAACCTTTTTATTGGGTCCTGTTCTCTTTTGACATATACTCGGTCAGATGAGAATAAAATCAATTTGTTTTTTAGTTTTTAAAAACATATTTTAGATATTAATTTTTAAAAGCTATTTTTTCGAAAAAAAAAATTGTTTAACTACTTTAAAAAAAATAAACAAAATAAGATGACATTGAGTAATGATGACAAGTGTAATTATTAATAAAAATATGAATATTATTAATAAAAACAAAATAAATAAATAAACATATTTTGTTACTTTGATGTTTTAGTCAAAATAAAAAATAAAAAAAAATTCTTTAACAAAACAAATATCCCATAAATTTTAAAAACTAAAAAAAAATCAAAATCAATAATAGATATTTTCTGTTTTAGTTGAGTTTTCATTGAGTATCAATATTTTCACTAATAATATTAAATCATCCATTTTTATCATTATAAAATTGTTTAAATATTTTTCAACTTCTGTATTATGTCATTTTTCATTTAAAATAGAATTATCAAATAATTTTTTTCAACTTATTTTTTAAAAACAATCTTTAAAATTGTTTTTGAAAAGATAAATAGTTTATTTTACACAAGAAAAGATAAATGGCATCTTATAGTTACGTAGTTATTCTTAATTCTCACTGCAAGAACAAAAGAAAAGCTACTTTTAGGATAGTCAAACTAAGAATAATGGAAGTGAAAATGAGTGAAAACATATATAACTTTCTACAAGCTGTAGTTCATATCTGAATTACGGTATAATAAAAAATCAAATTTTACAGTACTACATTGGCCCTGATGAAAAATGATAGTGAATAAATCTTACAGTAATTCGTTGGCCCTGATGTAAAAAATGACAGTCCAATCGTACTCCATCGGGCACCAAAACTATTATACATATGGTCTAAGATTTTACAAACGAATAATCCTTCCATCTAGTGGTTCCAGATCTAAATGTTCTTCTTAACACATCAATCCGTTCAGTCAAGATAGAATCTTTAAGATTTTCCATTTCAGCGTGTTCCTTTTCCATCAACAGCTCCAGATCGTCAAAATGTTTGACCTTGTGCAGCAATTTATCGATCTAATTAACAAATAAGCAAAGAAAAAATACTTAATCTCTAAATGGATACCTGAACCAGAGAAATTAGGCTACAGACAGGAGTTGAAGATATAAATAAATCATAAACTAGGAACCTGAGCTTCAATTATAGTTGCTACTAAGTGTTCAATCTCTCTGACTTCCTGGTCTGCCAACAACTTTGCTCGAGCAGCAGCGGCTCCAAGAGCAGTTGCAGTGGCGGCTCTTACACGCAGTGGTAAAGGTATTTCTGCAAGGGCAAGCTTAGTTAAAGGTGACAAGCAGCTACTTCATACACAATGTTTACCCATATATAAATATATTAACAAAAGATGCCCAAGAAAATAGGATAAATGCATGTTGTTAATTTTAAATAAATAAAATAAAATAAAATAAAAAATAAAGCTCTCAATTCATCTCCCATGTCAGAAGTAAACCTCAACTGAGGCATCTGCCAAAGGACTAGTGATAGAGATTGAAATAAATGCTATGGTTCGGGGAGCATACTCATTCTTCAAAATCATGTTATAAGCAAAAAATCAAATTTTCATGCTGTAATGTAATTTCTCTAGTTTCATGATAAGGAGCAAACAAATACAAAAAAAAAAGCCCATAAATGACCCCACAGTAAGAAGCAACTGGTAATTAAAACAAAAAAAAATTATCAAGTCGAAAATAGCACACTAAATCTTCGAATTCTTTATTCTTAGCCTTGTGCTCTTACGTGTCTTCAGTATTGTATTATTTTTAAGCAGTCCTATACCTATTCCCTTTTTCTCAATAGTTTTATAGTTCATTTTAAGTAACCAATCCTTGCCCTAAAATGGGTGACTTAGAATCAAATATGAAATGATTCCTATCTGGAATTTGGGAGGGAGAGAGAGAGAGAGAGAGAGATGAGCAGAATGCTCCCAAGCTACGTAAAATCTATGATAGCTCCAGCTATAAGAGAACAAAAACATAAAATAGCATCATAATCCCACGTAAATCACTATTTCTCTTTTGATGCTTAAGGCCTATGCAATTATACTTGCAGAGCCTTGGTTTTGTGGCTTAGCCAATTGACGAATTTAACTTATTTCAACTCAAACCGATCAAAATCCTTAAAATGCACCATCACCAAGGTACTGGCCCAAACTTTCATCTTACAAGGAACATGAACTCCCCATTGAATAACCATTGCTCTCCATAATATGGTTTCCTAATACAGTCCACCTAATTACACAACCTCACTTTACTGACAAATTATCTAGCATTGCAAGTATTGAGATGTGTATCATGCAAAACAGCAAAAGACACGAAGAAAAGATATGGACAAGTATCGCCATTATCATCATTATTTATACAACTTGCATTGAAGGAGCTAAAGTTTTTTCATTTCACCATTATTTGGTTGACAGAATACAGCTTGTTGGCAAAGCATGTCAAAAGAACATTAGAATAACACCTTAGTATACACAAGGGGAAAAAAATACCTGATAGAGAGGACCTCTCCATCTCTAAACCTTCACCCTCAAGAGCTCTGACACAGATAATAACAAGTATCAGGATTGTATAAAATAAAGGCTAAATTTAATCAGTTACTAGTCAGTAAAATGTGATTAATGAAAATAAACTAATAGGTTTCTGGCTGACCTCGCTGAATCTTCTTCAAAATCAAATATCTCCCTTGGACACAAATTCTCATCACAAAGTGCTGAAACAGCAGCATCAGCTGCAGCAGCTGTGATATGAGGGTCGACCACATTAGATATCAGTCCCACCTAATTCAAAACATCAAAATCTCATGGTCATACCAATGAAGGTGAAAGCAATAACTGATTAAAAAAACTTTATTTCAAAAAATATGTAAAAAGTTACAACCAAACAAAATGTAGATATTATAATGAATGAGGTCTATATGATATCAATATTCACATGTTCTTTCGTGTTTTTTATCCCTGGACATACAATATATACTAGATATGAGATGAGACAGCCAAAGAGGCATTTAGACATTGTAAACAGGTACGAGTCTTTAACAAAATCTAAGCATGCAACACATAAGATAACTCCACAGTGAGACAACAAAAAGGGAATGCAACCGATTAGAAAAATTATAACTTACAAGTATAACAAAAGATATGAAATTCAACCCTATACCTGATTCATTAGTGAACTACTGGAATCTGACAGGGGAGCAACACGATGTCTTTTTGAAGGACTTTCCTTCACAGAATCTCCATTCTGCTCATTTTCATTTGTAAGTTCAGGAGGTTGATCCTTTGACTTTGAAATTTCTTGGTTGTCAGATGAGGATGACTGAACTTGTTTTGCATTGTTCACGATGCCATTAGCACCATTAATGTTGACATTTCTGTGAGTTCGGCCAAACATGAGCTCCCCAAAAGGAAGCTCAATGAGTTTTGAGATACAATCAAGCTTAGTCTTGGTTTGAATACTTTGGGCAACAAGTTCCCAATCATCCCCATGCTTTAAAACAGATTCTAAAAGGAGAAGAATTTCTCCCTCAGTCCAGACAGTGTCATGTTTTCCACTATTTTCACTTGACTCACTCAATACGAAATCCTCAGCAGACCTTTTCTCCCCATAATTCCCACTTTTGAAACAATTTGCACAAATAATGAAATTATCCTGCATGATATTTAAAAAAAAAAGAGAGAGAGAGAATAACCAAAAATGATACCAGTTTCAGAAATATAAGCAAAACTCCAGGTAGAAAACTTAATGACACGGAATATAATAAATTAGCTAAAGAGGCAGAAAAAAAAAGGTTAAAAAATCTCCCAAAAAAAAAATTAACTTCAAACATGCTGTGCCAGCACACATACATTCAGAGGCCATAGGGATGCTAAATGAAATCAATAAACTATTTTCCAACATATGAATAGAATACATACGTAAGGGTAAAAATGGTTTACAAATATCAGAAAACCTTCTCCTCGATTCAGAGTATGTGAAATAAATGTTTATCAAAATCCCTCCTTTATTCACATACATGAAGTTCATCGAATTTTGAAAATTTTAAACATCAAAACAATACGAACCCAGTGCAAAGCATCAACTAGCACAACCTGAAACAATGTTAGATGACCAACTCCTTCACTCAGATATAAATGGGCAATACAGCCTAAGAACGACACAATCTATCACTAAAAGTAATACCTTAATACGTAAGAAAATTAAAAAGCGAATAATAATAATAACCTGGGTACATCGGTAATGTCCTGAACTACATTTGGCATCGCAAAACCGACACTTCCCATCTTTCTGCCTAATCAAATCCCCGTATATATCCGAATACGACGCGAGCGGCGGCAATTTGAGAGAAGCCCCACTCGCATTTCCACCACTCTTTGCAACGCGAGGCAACAACATCGGCTTCAACGAGTTCGGCGTGGCCGCCACGCGAATCCCATTGGGGGTTCCTTCTTCGAGGCGAACATTGCACAGCTCTTCCTCCTCTTCCTTCTCCACGTCTGCACCAGGCGCGCCGTAGTTGATCAAGCCCCAATTCTCTAAGAAGAGGAACGCCTTGTGCAGAAACGTGACGTCACCAACCAGCGATTTTCTCACCTCGGTGAATGTGAGCCTCCTGGAAGGCTCTTCCCTGTACTTGTTGATGATGAAGTCTCTGTATTCTTTGTATATCTTGGGGGTTCTTGAAATCGAGCTCGCGTCGAAGAATTCCTTGAACGCTCCTCTCTCCGTTTCGTGAATTTCGTCCCACGCGAACCATCCTTACAAAACGACGCCGGTTAGGTTGAAACGGAGGGAAAAATTAGGGCTGGGAGAGAGAATGCTTACTTGAAGAGCTTGGGATGGTGTAAAGTTCGAGTTCAGAATCTGAACCCTCAAAGCGACCCGGGTTTGAGTTTGGATCTTTTGTGACTTCCATGACGGAGGCTCCGACAAATCCAAATACGGTGGCGTGGGTTATATTTCGCCCTGTTTCGGCGTCGTTGGAGATTACTTCAGACGCAGACACTCGTAGCAATTACCAATCATTTACGCCGTTAGGGTCACGTATTTTAACCCGACCCGATAATATTATCCGACATATTTATAGACGGATTGTATTATTAAATCATTAAATAAATATAAAATTCAGTTTTAATGTGGTTAAAAAAATATTTTCTCCTATAAAATATTAAAATATGTCTTAAAATAATTGTGATTCTATTTTGTTATATAGTTAATATTTAAATAGAGTTAGCTTTTGAAACATGTTTTAAAATAGAAACAAAATGTAACTATATATTAATATCATATATAAAGAATTAGACATATATATATATATATATATATATATATAATAGTACAATGGATTATTTAAATTGCTTAATATATTTTAAAAATCATTATTTGTCATTAAACATACTTTAAAGGGACTAAAATTTAAATGTTATATTATATAATTTTGAAATAATTTAAAATTTTGTTATAATATATTAATAATTAATTTCAGGTAATCGATTTGATGGATAGTTACAAAGGGATTAAAAAACTATAACATTTTATGGTTAAGTTTGAAGTTAACCATATCACATTGATAGAAAAAAGTCCCCAAAAAAATATTGATAGAAAAAAGTTTATTAGAAACATATCACTTTGATTAAAATCTAATTTAGTACCAAAATTCAATAGGAAAGCCAAATTCGAGGATTTGCCATAACTGAGAAAAACAACTATAAGGAAAAAAGAAAGAAAAAAAAACTTGTTTATATGTTTAAAAGAGAAAAAAAAAACAATTATGAACAGATAAGAGAAAAAAATAAAGGAATATTCACAAAATGTTTAGTGTGAGGTTCGTGTAAATTTAAAAAATATTTTTTTTCTAAACAGTAATATATATATATATATATATATATATGATAATGTATTTTGGTATTTGTGTTAGAATTAACTACAAAATTGAGTTTTTATTTTAGAATTGGTGAGAGAAGAAAAACTTTGTACATGATGTGTCATGATAAAATTAATTTTTGCCACAATGAGTAAACACTCTTAAAAAGTATTAAATGATAATATAATAAATATTTGTACAGCTTAAAATGCTATATATATATATAATCTAAATTAAATTACAATATGTCTAATAATAATTAAAAATTTGGAAAAAAGTGTGAATTATTTAGGTTTGCTCCAAAACGATAGTTGGAGATAACACCAATCTCGAATCCTACGTGGTCCCACGACAACGATAACATCTTGGAAGGATTTATATAACATGAACTTTTTAGGTAGCCACCTCCATGCCAATCCCCACGGAAGAAAACAAAGCACTTGATAAGACAAGTACGTGTGATGAGTGGAACTTTGCCACCTCCACACTTGTATTTCTGCTTCTAGTTCCTTCATTCGGGTCTTTTTTTTTTTCTTCACTCATAACAACAATGGCATCGTGGTTGTTGGCAAGGTCTAGGGTCTTCTTCTCAACTCATCAACCCAAAAACCTCCCCTTCTTGTCACCACCATTTCTTAACCACACCTCTTCTTCTTCCTCCGTTCCATCGCGCAAAATCTCACCCACTCTTTTCTGCTTCTCGCGTCACGAATCAACCAAAGCCGATGCACAATTGGAATTGGAGCATGATGTCGCCGAGGATGACACCAATCAGGTAATTACTTTGTGTCTCTATCAAACCGTTCGTTCAACTCCGCCTTGATTTCCATGTTATCATCTTCTTCTTCTTCTTTTCATTTTTTCAAACTTTTAAGTCGTTGCTTCCGCATGTCTGTTGAGTTATGGAGTCTGTGAGATCTTTTAGATCGATGAGTCTTCGGATCTTGACCAATCCAATAATTTTTAGGGTAAAATTACATGAATATGTAATTATAATTATTGAGTATATAAAAAAATAAATAAAGTGACGTAACTACTTTAATGAAATTTATGAGAAGAGTAATTATAATTATTAAGTATGTAAGAGAAAAATTAAATTAAATTAAATAACTCTACTTTAATGAAATTTATGAAAAGAGTAAAGACTATAAAATTTATTATAACTTTCTCATTTAATGTTGTTTCAAAATTTTATTATATATTTAATTATTTTTAATATTTACCAGAAAAAATAAACTAAATTCAAAATTTTATAAATATAATATTTTATTTGAATTTATCATAAAATTTAAACATCTACCAAAATTTTAAAGATCAAAATTATAAATATATAAATATTTAAAAAAAAAGAAAAAAAATTGGAAGGTTGCCGGTTAATACGAAAGAAGATCGGCCCGAGGATGGATCATGCTCTTTAATTTTCTTCTTTAATGAAATTTTAAGCTAAGACCATTTTTTTATCAAATTTCTGTAATTTTATTTTCACTTTTTCTCTTAAATATCGTGAATTTCACAATTGATTATCGCGAGCTTCCTTCCTCTCGTAAGAGAACAAAATTCATAAAATATCATATTTTAAGAGATGAAATAAAATTAATGTCATGGTTAAAGCAGATAATATTTTAGATAATTTTTGTAAAAATTAATAATTTTAGCATATATAATAATTTGTAATTATTGATTTTGTTTTAAACAAACATGTTCGTAAAAACCACTTGGAAAAATAAAGACGAAAGGTTAAGTAAAAATCATATTTTTTTAGAGATTAAGAGTTAATTAGAGTATTTAGGTTCCACTCTATTTAGGCTATTGATTGCTCTTGTTTCGACAACTCAAGGATTGGATTGGATTGGATTGGGTATTACCTAAAAAACACTCAATGGCATCATGGCTGTGGATGTAATAAAAATATATATTTCATTTTGAATGTGCTTTATTTAATAATTTTAAATTTCAACAATGTATGATTCGGGGATAAGGATATAATAAAATATTCACGTTATTTATTTAATATTTTAATAATTAATTATTACTAAAGTCTATTTATGATTAAATAATATCACGCAATATGTTATCGTATATACTTGTAACTGTGTTTAATTTGAAATCAAACTTGTAATAAATTTTAGTATATCTTTTTATCTAATATAAAAATATTATGTTAACTTAAAATCAATATTAAAAATAAAATTAATATGTTAATATGAAATTGAATATTAAAAATTTATTACATTAGTAATTTTGTTAATATAATTTTAGATAAATCAATGTGATTCTGGTACAAAATTGGCCTGAGATTGATTTATGAAATACAAATCACAACTTTCTTTTGTGCTTAAAATTTTGATTTGATTTCAGCTTATCTAGATTGAAAGTGAAGTGATTGCATGATGTGGCTGATTGACGTATGTTTCACGTCTAACTCACCACTCTTTTGGAACGTGCGGTAGATTCTTTTTTTCAGACATTGTAAATAAAAAACTGAAAAAGCACGTTTAGATAAAGAAAATAAATGAAAACGATTTTTATTTCCTTTGTTTTCTTCCACTTATGTATTATCTTTTTTTCTCTCACTTTCTTATCTGACCAATCATGCTTTTTTTATTTATTACAAATTAAACTACGTAGCTTAGGACAGAAACATTTATTTATTTTTTATTATATATATATTTCACATAATACTCGTGTAATTAAAATATTTTTTCTCTCTGGTCAATTATTTGTACTCATGTCTTTGGCGTGACTAATCCGCGCATCAGTGTGGGTCCTTTTGCTCCACTAAAAAGACTTGTTTACGTCTTACGATCTTCCTTTCCTTATCCCAGTAAAAGGAAATGAAAACCACATTAATTAATTAATTAACTAATTTATCATTTCACTACTATTTTCTTCCTGTAAAATATAAAATCAGTGCATTATTTTAATTTTAATCACAATACAACGCGTGATAAATTTTCAATTTATATTTAAAGTATTTATTAAAAAATTACACTATTTGATAACGATTGACCATTGAAAAATAAAATTATAAATATATAATCAAATATATTTAATAATCATCAAATTTTAAAATTTAAATTATAAATTTATATATAAGTTACAAGATTTTAAAATGGTTACCCACTCAATTTCTAAATTTTAGTAAAAATTAATGACATAAACTATTTGAAATTCATAATTTTAGTTTTTATATAAATAAGTAAAAAATAGTAAATGATTCAATCCATTGAAGTCCACCTAAATATACCTAAGTAAAATATTATAATGAATTATCAACTTGCTATTTTTATATTTATTATATGCTGAGTATATCTGCCTAATTAATTACACGTGACACGTGTCGTGTCCTTGACTTAACCTTGCCATATGACATGTCTAATAATACGATATCATAAGATTATTTGTATATTAATTTAAAAAAAATATTTTTTATTACCGTACTGAATGTGTAATTTTATGGACAGAAAGCTATTTCAATTTAAAGAGGTTGAATAATACTCGAAAGAATTCGTTATCTTTTTTTTTTTTAAGTAAAGATATATTCTATATATTATAAAATATTCAATATTTAACACACTAAATCTCAATGATATGATGAATATTGCCAATTTCTTCGAATGGGTTAATGTTAGGTTAATATTGGGCTATTCACTAACCCTAACCCTGAGATTATGTTATTCTGCTTCTCACTGTCTCAGGCCATTGATTTTCCTGGAGGGAAAGTTGGATTTACTTCTGAAATGAGATTCATTTCCGAGTCTGCTCAGAAAAGGGTGCCCTGTTATCGTGTTCTTGATGACAATGGTGAGCTCGTTAAATATAGCAACTATGTACAGGTATCTCACGATCGTGTTCTACAATACTACTAGATAAACATTTTCCCTGGGATATAATGCAAACATTATATCGCATAAGTAATGGTTGAATAATGTGTGGAGAATATTAACTGAACAGGTTAGCAAGGAAATGGGTGTGAAGATGTATTCTGACATGGTCACTCTTCAAACTATGGACAGCATATTCTATGAAGTGCAGAGGCAAGGTAGAATTTCCTTCTACCTCACCCAAATGGGGGAAGAAGCAGTTAACATTGCATCCGCAGCTGCACTTGCTCCTGATGATATCGTATTGCCTCAATACAGAGAACCTGGAGTTCTGTTGTGGCGTGGTTTTACACTGCAACAATTTGTCCACCAGTGCTTTGGAAACACTCATGATTTTGGGAAAGGAAGGCAGATGCCTATACATTATGGATCAAACAAGCACAATTACTTCACAGTGTCATCCCCCATTGCGTAAGACCTAGTCTACAACATGTTTAAATCATTGCAACCGATTAAATTGTTAATTGGTGAGATGCGCTCTGAACAAGTTATATTGTTTGCCTAGATATTCAGAACACAACTTCCGCAAGCTGTGGGGGCTGCTTATTCCCTTAAAATGGATGGCAAAAGTGCATGTGCAGTCACTTTTTGTGGGGATGGTGGCACCAGTGAGGTTAGTGGTGATGAACCATCTTAACCAGCGACAAAATGAAACACCATGATGTTTATTGCTATTACCTGATCACATCATATATTGCAGGGAGATTTTCATGCTGCTATGAATTTTGCAGCAGTGATGGAGGCCCCTGTTGTTTTTATCTGTCGTAACAATGGATGGGCCATCAGTACACCCGTAGAAGAACAATTTCGAAGTATTCCTTCATTTCATTGTTTTTCTGTCACACCCTTTCCAGAAAATTATTTTACTCTCCCTCCATGTCCTGTTTGATATCTTAATGATTCTATTTAGATAAACTTCTCAATACATACTTGTCTGAGAAGAAAATAAAATAAATTAAACTTTTTTTTATATATAATTGAAATAGCTTATGAAGCACATAAGTAGATATTAAACTGAACACATTTAACTTTCCATTTTCTTCTTTTACAAGTATTTATTCGTGTATCCAAGTATGTTCTTCTTTTATTTGATTTATTTCAGATATAAAAAGTCCTGGAAACAATTGTTTTTCCTGTTTGGTTAGGTGATGGCATTGTAGTCAAAGGTAAAGCTTATGGCATCTGGGGTATCAGAGTAGATGGAAATGATGCTCTTGCAGTTTATAGTGCAGTTCACACTGCTAGAGAAATCGCTATAAGAGAAAAAAGGCCTGTTTTAATTGAGGTACGCCGAGTTCCCTTCATGCTACGATGATCATTCTTTGATACCACAGCATTTTATTGTTCACCAATCTTATGATAATTGCTATATAACCTTCAGGCTCTCACTTATAGAGTAGGACATCACTCTACATCTGATGATTCAACCAAGTACCGGGCAATCGATGAGATCGAATATTGGAAGATGACAAGGAATCCTGTGAGTAGATTCAAGAGATGGGTGGAAAGGAATGGTTGGTGGAGTGACAAGGATGAATTGGAGCTTAGAAGCAGTATTAGGAAGCAGGTTAATTCTAGTTGCATATTGAAATTTAGTCTAATTTGTACTCACCAACTTGTTCTAACATTTTGTTTACGGATTTATGCTACTTTTGTACAGCTAATGCATGCGATTCAGGTGGCAGAGAAAGCACAAAAACCTCCACTTGAGGACTTGTTTAGTGATGTCTATGACATATTGCCATCAAACCTTCAGGAGCAAGAGAAACTACTTAGGAAAACCATCGAGAAGCATCCCAAAGACTACCCTTCTGATGTTCCTTTGTAGATATTGCCAATTCAAACAAGGAATTGTACTTAATCTGACTGTCAAAATTAAAATAAAGGGATTGAATGTTCTTATTTTATGGTATCTACAATCTTTATGCTTTCTATGCTATTCATCATTAAACTAGTTCCACAATTATCTTACCTAAAAACTAACATTTCAATATTTAGCCTTGGAATCAAATTGAAACCAAACACTTAAAACAGGATGAGTTCGTTACTCAATAAAAAACTCACATAATATTGTCATTAAGATAAACTTATGATTCATTAGGAAGCAGATAAATTAAGGTTTTAAGTAGGTCATTTTAAATAGTAATTAAAACGATAAATAGATCAAAATAAGAATGAAAATTCAATATCAAAATCGCTAATATAAGATATGGAGGTAATTTTTTATCTTAAAAAATTAGTTAAATGTTATAGAAATTTAGTAGAACATAATAACATTATCAACATTAAATATGAAGATATTAGGTTGTGTGGATTTTTATTACACTCTGTCAGTCAATTTTTTTCATTTACTCTCAAGAATAACGGTTAGAGGATTTTTTTTTCCTTTTTGCAATTTCTTTTAATAATATAATAATTAAGATGAGTTTCTATTTTAGGATTAAAAATAGGTTCATTTCTTATTTTTGGAATAAATGTATCTCTAATCTCTGTATAAGATTCTCGGAGTATTTATTTAAACTTATTTTTGTCTAAAAGTAAAAGTATTAAATATATAAGAAAATAGTAAAAAATGGTAATAATATTTTAGAAAAAATAAATAATATATTTAGTTCTAATATTATAAAATTAATTTATTTTAATACAAAATAAGCTTAAACTTAAAATGAATGACTAAAACTCCTAAAAAAGAATGGAAAATTAATTAATTATAATATTAATTATAATTTTTTAAGTCAATTATATTCTAATAAAAACTTAACTGGTATAAAGATGCTAAGAAAAATCCTAAAAATGAGATTCTTATTAATAAAATATAAAAATGCAATTATAATTGCAGGGTCTATGAATGCAAAATATTGCTTAACCAGATAAAGCCAATAATTTTTTATCTGTTTGATACTCGTTTATGCATGTTGGTTTTCTGAAAGGAACGAATGCTGATTGCGTCAACGCTAAGAAGGGGAGGGGAATACGGAATAGTTTAAAGCTGAGAAATGACATAATCAAATAGTTTACAAGTGAATAAAGAAGAGAATCTAGAATCTTGTAAAGCATGTCCGAGAAAACAGTAACCAAGAGCTGTCTTCAAGTTCCTCGTACTCTTCCCATGTTGGCACTGTCCAAGGCGGCATAGTATCCTTCTATTCACCTCTCTCTTGGAATATGCTCAAGCATATTATCTCGGTATTGTCTCAACCTTCACAGTGAGAGAAAGATGACTGGTGTTGTTGTTTTGGACAGCAAGGGATGAGAATGCCTCTGTCCTTGATTCATTGGGGATCGTTTCTCACTCTTCAATTCCACTTATCACGTTTATGTGCTTTTCTCATCACCCATTTCATGTTAACGTTCAAGGTTTAAGATTAATCATCACAAGGCGTGCAGTGCAGTACTGCTTAGAGCATAGTATAATAATTTGAGTATGGATAGTCCTCCTACTCCATCTTACGTCGTGGTTGCATGTGATGCCACAAGGGACCGCACTGAGCACGAGATCAAACTCGTTGTTGATCATGTTCGGGCCAGGGGTTCCTTTCTCTCTTCTGGTGACAAGTTGCTTGTGCTTTGTGTATTGCACAAAGTGTCTCACCCTAGTAAGTGTTAACTTAATATTGCTGATTCTCTAATCAGTTTGAGTAAGAGAAATGGATCTATTACGTTGATGACATTATCTCCTTTTATTTTTTTCATTCATTTGTTGATCTGCATCAGTTTGTGGAAAAATATAGATTGTTCCTTCAGTGTTCTGATTACTCATTGCATAGCTTTTGTGTTCCTCTTTTTGGATTAATAGTGGGGTACCAGACGTTAGCATGTCCCGAGTCTTTTGCTGGAACGAACTTTCGTGCAATGGAGGAAGAAGTCAGAAAGAAAGTTGATGTATATGCTAGTGAGCTTTTATCAAGTTATGAAGATTTTGAAAGTGAAGGGGTACATTATATAAGTTCTAGCGAGCTTTGAAAGTACTCTTAACAAATGCATGCTTTAGCATAACACTTTGCAGTTAGAACGAATGTTTCCAACTAGTACTATTATTTTCTATATTGAAGTAAATAATGGCTATAGGTTCATGTGCAGGTTACTATTGAAATTAAAGTCACAGCGGGATTTCCAGTTAAACGGGTTGTTTTACAGGAGATTACAAACTATAATGCATCTTGGATAATACTTGACAGGTACTATTATCTCTCCCCTCGTGAATAACCTATCTCTTGCATTTGCCTTATCGATGATTTCCGTTGTTTAATAAGGATTTTACCAAATAAACGTGTCCTATCCTAATTTGGCAATAAGCATATCCAAGACTGCACAAGGTTTATATTTGGAACTTTGTTTTGTCAAACTATAAAATTTCATTTTACTTGGTTTCCTGTTTATTTTTTTTCTGATGCTTCTCAACTATATTCGGTAAATTTGAGCAGACATCTTCGTCGCGACCTGAGGTACCACCTTAACAAGATTCCTTGTAAGGTTGCACTGGTTAAAGATGACTTGTCTCTGGAGATTTGGAGATCTCATTATACACATGACACAAAGGTCACAGCAACAAAGTTTGTATTCTCTTTGTCAAAGTTTGTGTCGCTATCAGATTGTCATAGTATTGAAGACCTTGAGCACTCCATTATCTCTTGCAAAAGCTATCCCCATTCTATAGTTGCTTCTGATACCTCTAGGACGATTAGGAGCTATACGAAGCAGTCAAGTGCTAACAGGTCGCGTGATCACAGTTCCGTATTAGAGTTTGGATCTTCTTCTAAGCACGAAAGATCAGGTGATCAGGAAGCCTGTTTAAATATTTTCAGCCTGTATTTACACATTTATCGTTTTCAGCCTGTCTTACAAATTTTAGGATTTATGTATGCAAGCTTTTCTCGTGGTATGAAATCCCTGTGTTTGCAAATGATCATTTATCATAGGCTTCTCTGGAAAATATCATAATAAAAATTCTTTCTGAATGTCTTTTTTTATGTATGATTCTCACTGCTTGGGGAGTATTATAATACGGAATGACATGGAGTGAAGTAACATAACCATCGTTTGGATACATTCTATAGTTGAATGAAATATAGATTCCATTCTATTGCTGAGAAGTGGATAGAATGATGATAAATAATAAATTAATTGAATCTCATTCCATCTCATACTCCTTAATTGGAGGAAAGAAAATAGAACTTTTTAAAATTGAGATTGTTTCATCTATAATGTTTCAATATAGTTATTTTTAATGAATAGGAGTTTGAACTGCCATGCAGGCATAAGCATTAAAGGAGAATATAGGTATCTCGTCACTTCTCTGATTGACCAAAAGCAAAACCAATGTGCCTTTCTGCCAAAACTTTCAGATGCACCGCTTCTTTGTACTGGCTGTGGGACAAGAACTGAGTTATCTATCAAGGAGTCAATGGGGTTCAGCTACTCTGACATACAACTTGCAACAAATGATTTTTCAAAGGATAACTTATTAGGTGAAGGTGGATATGGTCACGTATACAAGGGCGTGCTTAAAGATGGACAGCAAATTGCCGCAAAGGTAAGGAAAGAAGAAAGTTCACAAGGATTTTCTGAATTTCATTCTGAGGTGTACGTCTTAAGTTTTGCTCGACACAAGAATATAGTGATGCTGTTGGGTTATTGTTGCAAAGGAAAGAAAAACATTCTGATTTATGAATATATTTGCAACAAGTCTCTCCATTGGCATTTATTTGGTAAGTTGCCTATCGTTTATTGTGATGGTGTTGACTCTCAAAAAATATATTCCATATCCCCTGAGGTTTATTTTTATGAATATATTTTTGTAGAAAATAATGCAGCTGTTCTAGAGTGGCACCAAAGGTATGCTATTGCCATTGGGACTGCAAAGGGATTGCGTTTTCTACATGAGGAATGCCGTGGTGGTCCAATTATTCATCGGGACATGCGACCAAGCAATATACTTCTCACCCACGATTTTGTTCCCATGGTAAGGCACCATTTAAGAGAAGTGTACACAAAGTTTTGGCTTGACAACATTCACACAACTCAGTAATTTCTAAGATGCTTCTTTTTTTGTATATTCACATCTCCTAAACACACGTTCCGATTAGATGACAGAAGGCAATGTGTGGTTTATTAAGTGATGAGTTGATTACAAATGCAGCTAGGTGACTTTGGCCTTGCTAAATGGAAGACTGGTGATGAAACTCTACAAACAAGGATAATGGGCACATTAGGGTGAGAAATTTTTCAAGATTTTGCTTCTAACTACCATCATATGCTCCTTAATTCCAAACATAGAAAGAACCAAAACAAAACAATATTTTTGTTACTGTAGATACCTTGCTCCCGAGTATGCTGAAGACGGTATTGTTTCTGTGGGAACAGATGTGTATTCTTATGGCATCGTCCTATTACAATTGATATCAGGACGCCCAGTTGGCAATTCCAACAATCCAGAACAACCACAATCTCTCCGACAATGGGTATCTTTGATTGTTTATGACTTTAGATATTTTCAAATCAAACTTACTTTATTACAATATCAATATCAGTGATATGATAAACAATATTACACGTGAAACATGATAGGCTGAGCCAATGATAGAGAAGTTATCCTTACATGAACTGATTGACACTCGTCTAGGGGAATCATATGACACGTATGAACTGTACCTCATGGCTAAAGCAGCATACTTCTGTGTGCAGAGGAAGCCTGAGATGCGTCCATCAATGGGAGAGGTAGTTAATCTGGACCTCATTGCTTTCACTACTTTTTTGTTTTTATTTAGAACATCAACATCTAACATTAACGTTGCCTTGCATTCCTTTTTATCTAGTTGGTGCAAATTA